GCCTCCACCAGGAGCTGCTGGCTGGGGGCCGGCGCAGCACGCTGGCTCTGCGCCTCCCCGGCTCAGCACAGGTCTGGCTGGCCCTGTGTATGACGATGGGTGGGTGGATGGACGGATGGACAGATGCATGAACAGGCGGTGGGTGGATGGTCCCCTCCCCCAGCCATCCCCTCTCCCATCTCCGTCTACTGACTCTCCGCCCGGCCTCCGCAGGCTCTCCCTCCAGGAAGCCCTTGCAGGCCCCACTGGAGCCTCGATGACACATTTTAGCAGAGTCTGCCCAGTCCCTCCATCATGGGACTCGGTGCTGGTTTCCTTCATGCGGGCATACACCCTAAAGGCAAGGTCGGTGCCCTGGGCAGCTCTCATTCTCCAGTGCACCCCAGACAGGGCCTGGCACCAGAGAGGCGCTCAACCCGCCCTGTGAAAGAAGAGAAAGGATCCGCTCTTCTTCCCCAGGGTTGTGAGACTCCGGATCAGTGAGTGGGGGAGTGTTATTGGGGTTGGGGGGACAGGTCCGGCCCTCCCTCCCCTGCTAGGAGAGGACGTTTCCATGGTCCCAGGCTCAGTGGCTCCCCGACTCCACCTGTGAGGACTTTTTATTTGCTCTCAGTCATGGTCACGAGGGGACTGGAGGGCGATGGTGACTCAGCCCAATTCATCATCACGATGGAAAAACCCAGTCACCTGCTCTCCCGGCACCGGGACCAGGGCTCTCTGTGTCTGGATGGGCAGTGCGCCACACTGTCTTCAAGGTCCTTCTGTCTTTCACCTGCTGACAAAACAAAGACTGGAGTAGGAAGGGGCATGGCTGGCTGACACCAGAGTTGCAGTGTGGCATGGATCTTGGTGATCGGGGATCGTGTGTTCCCTCCGTGCCAGGCCCCACATGGATGATCCGCGTGCGTCATCTCGTAGCTGTTTCACAGCAAGCCCGCTGCTTTCTGAAGTGGGCGCTGCTCCCTCTTTAGCCACCAGCGTCTGATATGCCTTCCTGTGGGGCAGGGTCCGCCTGCCACCAGAGGAGCCGAGAACGCCTTTGCCCAGCCTCCCTTGCAGCTTTGGCAGAGTTCGTGATATGGGCGCCTCCAAACAGACATGCCATTTTTTTTTAAAAATCATGTTTATTAGGGTAGCATTGGTTAATAACATTATGTACATTTCAGGTGTAGGACTTTCTAATATGACATCTGCATGCTCTTATTGTGGGCCCACCGCCCGAAGCCTGGTCTCCTTCTGCCACCCCATATTCGACCCGCTTTACCATCTTCTTCCCCACCCCCCACCTCCCCTGTGGAAACTACCATTCTGTTGTCTGTATCTATGAGTTTCTTCATTTGTTCTTTTTTGTTTTCTAGCCCACTATCAGTGAAATCCCATGGTTTCTGTCCTTTTCCATCTGCCTTATTTCACTTAGCATAATAGTGTTGATCCATCCAAGTTGCCGCACATGCAGACGCCCCCACTCTTGACTCTGAGTTAGAAACTGATGACACGAGGGAGCTGAGAGCACACGGAATCCACTCTGGCAAGGACGCCACAGCGGGGGCAGCGCCCCCTCGGGACGCACAGGCGGCCGTGGTCCCCAGGGCAGCGCCCTGTGTCCTTGCCCAGGCGGGCTGCTGGCGGCAGCCTCTGTGCCCAGGGATGGCAGGAGTGGTTTTGACACCAGACCAACGCTGCGGTGTTGGCCATGGCTCCCGAGATCCTAAGAGCGGCCTGCCCTCCTTTTAACGGAGCCCTTCTGCCTAACCTAGCCAGAGTAGGCCTTCTGTTTCCCGCAGCTCTCCAGGCTGATATATTAGCCTGAGCTTCACAAAGGGGAAAGAAAGGTTCAGAGACATCTTCAGGGAAGCTGTGTCTCCTCTCCAGCTTAGGTCCAGGCCCATCTCCCGCCCGTTTTACACCTGGGAGAAGGGAAGTAGAGGGAAGGCAGCGACTTAGGCAGCAGCCTTCTGGCACTGCATTTTGCTGTGTATAATGTGCACCCACATTTTGGCCCAAACTTTCAGGGAAAAAAAAAAATCTTCAACTTTTTAATTCAATTATTTATTTATATGTAGACATTAGTGTTTATATTATACAGGGATGTTAGCATTTATTTTTGAACATATTTTGGTACAAGAAATCTTATGTAACAATTAATTACCAAACACAAGAACAGATACAAGGTATTGCAGGCGCTCCCCATGTATAATGTACGTCCTTATTTTTCCTTCAATAATTTGGGGAAAAGTGCATCTTATACACAGCAAATCACGGTAATTAGGAGCAAGGCTGCAGGACACATCCTGGCCAACAGCTTGGCCCTCTGTCAAGCTCTGCTTTCCTCTGTTAAGAACCCTGCCATCCGGCCTGTCCCCAAACACCGTGTCCCCTTCGCAGGGATGAAGAGCCTAAAGCAAGAGAGACGGAGAGCTTGTCCTTCCTCTGACTGCTGGGGGACTCCCCAAAGCCAGGCCTGACCGACTCCTCCAGAAGGCCCTTCTCCCTGCCTCCTTCCTGAGCACCTTTATCTGCTGCAATAGCCTCCCCAAGGGAAATGTTCTTACAGCCACAGTTTTTCATCATCTGTTGTCTCCACTTCCAGGGTTCAAATCTGCAACCCAACTCTCCTGAATGCTCACTTGGAGTTCATGACTTATCTGAGCCAAGTGGACCGCCTATATGAGTTCAAGGCCTTGGCAGATGCCGTCCCACACAAGGACAGATGTGTCATGGTTTCCACGCTCTTGTTAGGCAGCCTTATGCATCCTCCCAGGGCCTGCATTCCTCTGAGGAGTTCAGAACAGGCCAGGACTCGCAAATTATGTCACTAGAACATCAACAATTTGTTGTGTTTAATGGCTAGGTCTAAAATTGTTGAAAAGGGTGGGACTCAGGAAAGCCTGAAAGAATCTCTAAGGCAATAACAATTTCATCATCAGTAATAAAGGCAACTGTTGGCTGCACACTTCAACCCTGGACCTGGCCTTCAACCCAGGCACGTGCCCTAGACTGGGAATCAAACCCGAGACCGCGTGGTTTGCAGCTTGGTGCTCAATCCACTGAGCCACACCAGCCAGGACCCTGCTTGTGTTCTTAAGGACTGACTCCATCTGGGTCACCTTCTCTTACCTGCTTCCTTATTCAACACTGGTGAGTCCATTAATTCAATGCCATAGCAGCTATGGCCCCACCACAAACCAGCCTGAGCGAAGGGGTCAGGGAAGGCACTGCAGAAGTCTCTTGACCCCCCACCCCGCTGCCACACCAGACCTCCGGGTGACCTGGCCCAACACTCGCACTCTACACCCAGAGGCTAGAGCCCTGGCAGGAGGCTCCGTCGGTTGGAGAGTTGCCCTGTCCACCAGAAGGCTGCAGGTTGGACTCTGGGTCAGGGCACATACTTAGGTTGTGGGTTCGAGCCCCGGTTCTGGGCTTAAGGGAGGCAAGGCAACTGATCAATGCTTCTCTCTCTCCCTTCCTTTCTCTCTAAAATCAGTAGAAACATATCCTCGGGTGAGGATTAAAAAAACAAAACAACAACAACAAAAAAAACCCAGGCCGGAATCCGGGAGGGGCAGAGCCCCGCCCCAGGTCCCTGGCGGAGCCTGACGGAACCGGGCCCCAGCGTCCTCTTCTGGGGCCGTTTTGCCCAGTGTGTTCGGGTCATCAGGCTTCCACTCCCCCGACAGCAGGCTTTACCCAGGGCCTTCAGCGCCCCCTCCTTTGGGGTAACAGGCGGGAGCAACGCCACTGGGCCAGACCAGAGTCAGGCCGAGGAGGACAGGGTCTCCCAGGTCCCTTCCCGCTCGGATATGGAGGTGAACTGAGGGGAGCGAGGACCTCGTCACTCGGCGGGGGAGGGGGTAGCAGAGGGCCCAGCACGTCTCTCTGCCTGGAGGTGGTCAGTTCCGCGTGAGTCCCCCAAGGAAACCTAGGGCCCTGAAGACGGGAGACGACGACCCAAGGACCCTGAGCGCCCGGTTCTTCCTGACCCCCCAGGGCTTTTCCCCGGCGGCTCCCAGGCGGCCGCAGGGGTGGGGGAGGGGTGCTGCCTCCCCCCAGCCGGGGTTCCCCTTGTAAATCTGACCAAGGACCGAGGCGGAGGCAACCCCATCCCCGGGGAACCCGACGGCGCGCGGCTGCAGGGGGATCGGAAGGGCGGGCGGGGCATCCTCTGCACCCGGCGGGGACCCTGCCTCCACGCGCCTGCGGGAGAGGCGGAGCGGGAGGGAGGGGTGGAGACCCACCGGAGGGTCTCCGCTAGGACCCGGCGTCGCGGTGTCCCGCTCGCCCGCCCGCGGGTCCAGACACCTGGTACCGGGGACGGCCTCCCGGGACCAACCAGCCGCGGCAGGCCGCGCGCCCAAGCCCCCCACGCCCACGCGGGCACGCCCCGCGGCGCCCCGCCCCCGCCCGGCCTCCGCCCCCGGGAGCTGCTCGCGGCGGAGGGGCGCGGGGCCTCGGCACCCGCACCCGCGCGTCGGCGGCGGCGGCGAGACCGGGCTCCCGCCTGCGCGTCCGTCTTGCTCTCATTGCCCTCGGTGAGTGGCGCCGCCCTTGTCCCCCTGTCATTGCGGCCGCAGCCACCCCCCCACCCCCGACGCGCGCAGCCACCGCGCACGACCCCAGGCCCCGGGAGCCGGGCGCCCTGCCCCGGGGGCCACCTCTCGCCTACGCGAGGGCGCACCGTTTCCTCCCGCACCGTCCCCCGCCTTCCCTCCGTGCCTTCCCAGCCGAGCACCTCCTGGGCCTCGACCCAGCGCCGCCCGCGCCCGCTGCCCCCACGACACCAGGGTGGCGGGGCCTCTTTGTTCCGGCCGGCGGGCGCACCTGCCCCTCCTGTCGCCTCCCGAGAGTCGCCGCACCCACCCCGCGCGCTCCCTCCGCCTCCCCGAGCTCACCCCGACCAGGTGGCGGCGGCGGGCGCCTTTTAGGGGTGCGCGGTCGTCCAATTGGTGGATTTTTAAAAGCGCTTTGCGGGGGGCGCGGCATGGAGAGGGTGGCGGCGAGAGCACTTCTCGCTCTGGCGGCTGCTGCTCCTCCGCTCCTCGCTCTCCGACCGCTTCGCTCCTCACCTCCCGCGTTCCTGTCCCCCGAGCCGGGCGGCGCCGAGAGCCGCGATGAAGGTGCTGGGACACAAGATCGAGCTGCTGACAGGTACCGCCGGCCCTCGCCGCCCGCTGCCGTCCGAGTTGGAGCGGAGCGGGGCGCGGCGGCCGGGGTTGGGGCGGCTCCGGCTGGAGCTGCAGGAGGGGGTGCGGATGCCGGCTGATTCCTGGCCCGTGCGCAGCCCGGCTCTCCTCTCCGAGTCCCCAGCGGCCAGAGCGCGAGGCGAGGGAGCGGCCTCCTGGAGTGTCCAAGTGGCCCGGCTCTAGTCGGGGCCCCGAAAGGGAAAAGGGAGCTTAGCGCCCCCGCCCTCCAATCAGGTCCCCTAAGAAAGGAGCCCCCGACTATGGCTTTGATTCCTGTCTCCTGTGACAGTCCGAGCTCCTCTCCCCGGAGAAGCGTCCTGCTGGGAGTAGACGCCGGGTGGCCTGGGAAGGGGGACGCCAGATTGGACCCTGAGGACTGGGGACCCTCAGCCTTGCAGCCGCCTCTGGAGAGGTGGCTACACAGAGCGCTGGAATCCACATCCAGGGTGCTGGTGCGGGAGAGCCAGAGGACATCTGGGTCTGCCCAGAGGAGGAGACAGGAGGGAGCAAGGATGGGGGGCCAGGGGTTTGAAGGGGGGACACAGTCCCCCAGGCACAGGGGCCTCGGTGGCCGGGTGGTGGAGAGTCAGGACAGGAGGAAGCGGACTAGGAAGGGGAAACAGCCCAGATCCCAGGAGGGCCCGGATGGTGCAGGTGATCAGTCAGTGTATCCTGGACGGACACGTGGATTCCGGTCCGTGTCCTCCAGCACCTGGGAGGTGTGGTGCCTGACCTGGAGAACCCAACGCGCCTGGTGCAGGAGACCTGGGCACAGGAGCCCTGTTAGGAGAAAGGGGCCGCAGTGTGGGGTGCACTCAGGAAAGGGCTGGAGTCAGTGGAGACGCAGCCCAGCAGAGAGGTTTAAGCAGGTGGCAATGTTTGCACTGGACCCTGAAAGATAGGGTTTCTGTTCGTTGAAAAGGAGATGGCGTTCTAGGCTGAAGGGTGGAGGGACCGGCTTCTGCAGAAGCCCTGGGGCATGAGAGAGACTTGAACTGGGAGTGATGTGAAGTGGAGACTGGAGGGCCTGGAGAGAGAGAGTGTGTGTGTGTGTGTGTGTTGAGGGGGCCAGGTCCCATGGGGCTGCAGGCTGTGAGTGCCTGTCAGAGCAACAACGTCCGGCTGTGCCTTGGTGCTCTGGCAGGCTCATAGAGCCGGGAAAGGGGGTGGGGTCCTTCCAGATCCGAGCCCCATCAGCCAGGGGGCTGGCAGCCCCTCTAATCCTTTGCCAAGTTTTCCATGTAGAGCTCACCTGACGTCAAAGGGAACCATGCAGATGGCTGAACTTGCTAACTCCCAGAGGGAAAGTTTTCCCAGCTCCCAGGGTTTGAGTTTTTAGAGCCTTGTGCGCGGAACCGAACTCCTGGATCCTTCCCCTCCTCCTCCTCCAGCCCCAGAGGACTGAGGGGGAATGCTCTTGGGAGGCATGTGCAAGGCTCCAGTGGGGGTCCGGGATTTGGGGCCCCATTTCAGTGTGGGGACCCTCATCTTCTGGGGACAGAAGTCTGGGCCTTTCCTCCCTCATCAGACGGACTCCCACGGCTCTGGCAGACTCTCTAAGCCCTTGGCCGGGCTGGAACGGGACCCCCTCCGTCACTGGCACTGATCACAGTTGCCCTGGGAGACAGCACATAGCCTCAGTCGCTGTCTTGCGGTCTTTGCAACCTTCCCCCTCTCTTTAGCTTCCTCCTGTCCTCTTCCCTGTCACGCAGGTCTCGGGTGAAGTCCCAGCCCCACTGCTGGCCAGCTGTGTGATTTCAGACAGGTGCTTCATCGCTCTGACTTCCGTGTTCTCGTCTTAGAGGCTATTGACCTCTCCCTCCGAGGGCTGGAGTGGCTCGCTGCCGTAGCACAGCGGACACACCTGGCCGGGGCCCACAGCGCTCGGGCTTCGTCTCCCCTCTGGTTCCTTGGTCTTGGCTGTCCCTGTAATGGAGATCTCCACCTGCCCTGGCTGCTTGGCCGCTAGGAAGGTGGGATCTTTCCCCACCCTACTACTTTATCTCTGCTCACACACATCTGTGAGGTTTTGACCCACATTTCCCATCGGATGATAATGGGTCACAGTCAGCGTGGTGGCCGGTGTACTGTGGTGGCAGACAGCAGGTGCTCAGTAACTGCTGGCTGAGTCCAGGCTCACACCCGTCCCCTGTCTCCCGGGTAATTTCTTAGAGGTCACCCATTCCCTGCCCCTACGTCAGCATCTGAAAATTGCTTCGCTGGACCTTCTTATTTATTTTGCTGTTGATAGCTTTCACATTCTCCTGTTTTGTTCTTGTGCCTGTTTTATGGATGAGGGCTCTCCGTTCCTGGCCTCATACCCCTGAGGTGGAGCTGGGTTTCCACCTGCATCCTGAGCCTGGGTCCTCCCACGAGATCCCGCCACCTGGCTTTGCTGGCTTTGGGCCCTTCTCGCGGCTGCTCCGCACTTTGCTTTCCTCATCCGTAATGGAGTCACTGGGGGACCCCCAGGTCATGCTCTCCGGCAGCAGAAGTGAGAGAGTGTTACATGTTGAGGGCAGCATCACGTCAGCAGCCAGCACGTGGCAGTCATAGGGCTGTTGTCCCCAAGCTGCCCCCTCAGTGTCCTAGGGCCTCCCTGTTCTGCTGTGCTCCAGTCGCCTGATGCCCTTCCTCCGGGATATTCCAGCTCCTTCTCTGGGTTCTCCACACAATCCAGGCCTCCCTGAGATGTGCCCCTGCCGGGCCCTGCTTAGGCCTTGGGTTCCCATCGAATGGGACAGGGAGGCCGTGACGCCTGGGGCTGGGCCCTGCTGGCCGGCCATCCTCGGCCCTGGCACAGGCGGGGAAAGCGGGGGCCCCACGGACGGAACCGGGAGCATGCCCAGGAGTCGGCCTGACCAGCCCAAGCCTGTGTTTTTGTTCTGGAGGGAAGAGAGCAGGTGGTAGGAGGCTGCACGGGTGAGGGCGACCAATGCGCTTCCCAGTCTCCCTCGCAGTGTCTTGCAGGCTCAGGGAAGGCAGGGATTTGGGAATCAGAGGATGTGGATTTCTGGGTCTGCCCTTGTCAGCTCCTGAGCAAATCCTTAACTTCTCTGAGGCTGGGTTCTCCTCGCCAGTGAAGTGGGAATCAGGGCCCCGCGCAGTGAGCCTCCTGGGAAGAGCCCAGCGCGGTCCCACCCAGACACACGCTGCTGCAGAGCTGGGGGAGGGGCAGGCTCTTGGCGCCTTTGGAGCAGGTGCTTTTTTATTTTAGCGGCTTATTTTTACTGTATTTTTGTCCTTACCATTTATCACACTTAGACCCTCTTCCACCTCCACCCGCCCCTCCTCCCCCATAGCGGGTGCTTTTTTATTTCCCAGGGTGACGTGGGGAAGTGGGACACTAGTCTGCAAGTAGAAAGATGACGAGTTTTGTGTATTTGTACTCAAATAGCATGTCCCCAAAGTGGTCCAGAGTCAGAGAACACTCTAAAACGGTAGACTAAGCTCTGAAATGGTCCCTTGGGAGCCTCAGTATTGGATGTGGGAAAATTTTTTTTAAAGATTTTATTTATTTATTTTTAGGCAGAAGGGAAGGGTGGGAGAGAGAGAGAGAGAAGAAACATCCATGTGTGGTTGCCTCTCCTGTGCTCCCCGCTGGGGACCTGGCCTGCAACCCAGGCGTGTGCCCTGACTGGGAATCAAACCGGTGACCCTTTGATTCGCAGGCCAGCACTCAATCCCCTGAGCCCCACCAACCAGAGCGGACGTTGGAAATTTTTTAAAATATGCTTGTTGTGGATTAAAAAGCAAGACTTTAAAGTCAGGAGTGTTGGTGTCCTTTCCATGCATGAAATTTGTTGTCTCACATGATTTCATCGACTATGTTTAAATAGCACTTGGTTGTCGACGGGCGTGTTGACCCACATTTTATGTGAGAGGGAAAGTGAAGAGTAGACTTACCCCAGGAGCCTGAAAATCAGACCCCCAGTCCTTATTTTCGGTTCACCCATTTCAGTAAACTTGACTGCTGCTCTGGGTTATGGCAGGGGAGGCATGGGGACGCACAGGTGAGTAGGGAGGCGTGGTCCACCAGAGGAGGGCAGAGGCCTGCCGATCACTGAGCGCGCCCAGGGCCGCTGGTGAGAGGCGTGTGGGTGACGAGCAAGCTGGGGGTAAAGGGGGGCGACTTCTCTGAAGGGCGAGTTGGCAGTGATGCATCAAAAGGCTAAAAATATGCGTGGTTTGTGACTCCGCAGTTGATGTTTTCGGAATAAAGAAGTGTGCAGAGGTATTTGTTCAAGGGTGTTTACCCTGTAGTTGTTAATAGAAGAAAAAGGACAACTGGAAATAACCTACATGCCCAACGGTCGAGGAGGTTAAGTAGATGAAAGGGCATTCACGCCAGGGAGCCCCAGGCAGCTGCGCATTCTGCTGCTGAAGCTATTTCTCCACCTGAACAGATGTCCCTTTGTGCACTAATAATGTCATAATAATGGTGGTGACAGCTCGCACTCAGATGCCATTTGCCGTGTGCCTGGCGCAGTCCTCAGTGCTTTCTATACAGCAGCTCCTCATCATACCAACCTGTGAGGTATGTGCTATTATTTCCCCCGTTTCATGGGTGAGGAAGATGAGGCACGGAGAGGGTCACTTGTCATAAGTCGCACAGTTAGTAAGTGGTTGGCTGGAATTTGTACCAGGATATCTGGTTCCAGGGTTCAAAAGATGATTCAAAACAGCATTCATTTTGTTTTCAGTGTTTTTCAGTGTATAGATTATCACTGGAAGAAGAATGAAAGGATATAAGCAAAAAAATAGTAACCGTGGTTATTGCCCTGGCTGGTGTGGTTCAGTTGGTTGGAGCATCGTCTCGTAAACTGAAAGGTCGTGGGTTAGATTCCTGGTCAAGCACAGGCCTGGGTTGCAGGTTCAGTCCCTCGTCGGGGCGCGTACAATAGGCAACCAACCAATCAATGTTTCTATCTTACATCAATGTTTCTTTCCCTCCCTTCCCCTCTC